AAACTTCCTTTTTTTTGTTTAAGATCAAATTCCTGTTCTATAAACATCTTATCGTACATTTTGATTTTGATTTTAATAACCTGTCGTTTTTTTAGTAAAGATATCTTATTTGTCTGTTCAGGTGTCTGTATCCAATAGAGAAATGATGTCTCTTATTGTTCGTTTGATCTATTGTTGCGCTCTCGTCATATTGATACTATGCACAGATGAAAAATATCGGAAGTTCGACGGCCACTTTACTAATTAGTCAATGTTTTTTATGTTGATGATGATTATGATTGAGGTTAGAATGTCGGTATCGGCTCTTTGTTGTTGTGGTGATGGTGGAACTAGTCAGTCTCTTTCTTTTTTTCTTTTTCTCGCTCTCTCTCTCTTTCATTCAAATACATCTTATCACGCTAATTGCGATTAAGATGCAAGTAATCATTAGAAAAAAAAGAAGACAATACAAAAGAAAACGATAAAATGAAAAGAGAAATAAATCCTATGCAGTGCAGTGTCATTTAATGGATAAAGTGTTACCATTTTTGCCACTTAGGACTAAAGAATTGAGATTAGAAAAGAAAGAAAAAAAAGAAGTAAGAAATTGATAGATGAAGGTCAGGAAGTAAGTGAGTCTGAATTTTCAAAAAAAAATCGGATATGTGACGTTAACGCCGTTTTTGATTTTTTCGACTTTTTTTCGATTGAATATGTTGCAGAAGGTTATTAGTAACATTTTCACTACTTATTTTCTCAAAGTTTTCATATGAGAGTTTTCATCACTGTGAAATAAATCTGAGAATTTTTGAAAAAGCTTTTTTCTTATATTTGGACTGAATACCGAAATTCGCGCTGATCACCAATATTATCCTTAAAAATCGAAATAAACATCGTTTTCATTAAGAAAAACGTTTTTTAGTGTAAGAAGGTAAAACGTTGCATTTCCATATTTCATTCTACCAACATCATAAAAACAACATTTTAAAACATATATATTGAAACTGGTAAAAATGTACACTGTCTCCAATCCAAGTTGATTTAGTTTCAGAAAAAGTTGATATGTAACAAAAATATCGCAAAATTATATCACATCACTCGCTGAACTCCTCATTGAGTAATTGATTGCCACGTACCTACGGCTTAATTCAATAAGTAAGATATACAGATCGACACTGATTTTGTACATTGTATTAGAATATCAACTTTGAATTATACTTAAACAGGTTCTATATCATCAAAGTTACAAAATACTGGCTTAGAACGTTTAAAACCACGTTATCTTGCATGAATTTTAAAATTATACAATCTTCTTACACATATTAATCCGATGACCATTTAACATATACGTTGTTTTCAGTGGTGTATTCATGCAATGAGACATTTATTATCAGGTTTATTAGCTATTGTCTCAGTCCGACTGGCACGGTAAACCCAATCTATCTATCTCAACCGGGACTTTGATGGGTTTTTTTGTCATAAATTGTCCATTGTTTCTAAACAGCAAAGCGACATATGGTCAAATCGAAAACTTGAATTAGTCATCAGGCAAGTCGAGATAAAAGGACAAGACAATATCTGAATTTCCAAAGATTAATCAGTTTCTTATCTCGATATATTTTCAATCGAAATAGAAATCCAAAAAATGATGGTCTAAAAAAAATCGCATTAATACTACCATATCCTTTTCATTTTTTTCATAGAATGAGTTTCTCAATAACAGTAAGTTTCACGATGATATTCTGTTTTCCATGAAGTTCGATCGTTTTGAACCAAAAAAACTATCATCCTACCAAATGTTTGTTCTTTCTCATCAGTTAATCCTCTAACTGTATAGATATACATATACATATACATATATATATTATATACATACATAAGTGTCTGTATCATCAGCGGATCGTTTGAATCTCAATTGATTCTTCTAATAATAAATAAATAGAAAAAATATGGTCAATTGAACATCACCACCATCACTAAGACACACAAGTGTCACACAATTGATGATTACTCTGCTTTATTAATTAAAATAATCTCGTAGAAAGTAAAAGAAGACCAATAACATCGAACGGCGACATTTAAAAGAAGAAAAAGAAGAAAATAATTGAATTGTTGAACATGATCGTTATATTTTGTTTGTGTGAAAAAAAAAAAAATTATTATTGAATATGTAGGAAATTGAAAGTTAACATAGGATAACAGAATGTTGAATGATAAATACTAAAATCGACAAGAGAGGTTGAAAATTAAAAAAACAAAAATGGATTGAATTCATATTTGTAATGTTGTGAAAGTGTTATACTAGTTTTATCAAAATAGATCATTGATTTGAAAATAGATCAATCTAGAATATTGAATCATATCAAATATTACTGATTTTCATGTAGAGTCATATTTTTAAGTATTTTTATGTGTATTTTTTGTTTTTTCTACTAAATTTGCCTAATAACTTCCATTAAAAAACAAAATTAAGTACTGTTTATATTGAGTTTTGAAATGCATAACATCCTCTTTAGTAGAAAGAAATTCAATATTTGATTTAAACAGTATAACAACATACCAAGTTTTATCTCTATGATATGAAAAAAGAAAATGACATTGTTGTTGTATATAGAACTTTAAAGTGAATAGTGTATACATGTCTTTGAGTTGAAATCTAGAGTCATGCTTTCATTTAAAAATGTTTTCGTTAGAAAAAAAGAACGAAAGAGGCGTAGTTTGGTATTTGGATATTCTCTCGATTCGTCCCTCATTAGCTTTGCAGATCAAACAATATCAAAGGTAACATCAAAAGTAAGAGTGAGTATTAGGGACGAATCGAGAGTAAACCGTTTATTTGAGAATAGAACTTTCTAGAAAATTAATTTTGAAAGCATCGTCAAAATATTGTGGAAAATTGTAGCAATAAAAATAGGAGACGAGATTTAAACCTATTTTTATATGCGATTAAATTTATACTATTTTTTCTCATTGAGATTATATGCCATTTTTAGCAATGAATATAAAAAGTCTAAATCATCAATTTTTCCAAAATATCTTCTTAATAATTTTGATTTTAACAGCCATGATCTTTTCGTGCAATTGATTTTTTCTGGATCTGTTTTATATCTCTCTCAAAGTTTGATTTTTTTAATATACATGTCGAATAACGATAGTATAGTACATACTAATCAACTACACATATTGCTACATATGTGAATAGTTAGTATTTGTATATATCCCTCTTTCTCTCTCCCTCTCTCTCTATATATATATTCCTACTGGTCTAATTAGATAAACGTATTTGTTTAACCAAATGTGTCTGGATGTTTTGTTAATTGGACGACCTCACAAAACACCATCTCGAATCGTTGATATGTCAAAAAAGAAATGTATTTATGACATTAACCAGAATAGAAAGACAAATAATAATAATAATCTTACTGCCACAGTTTGAGCTTAAAGAGGAGAAAAAAAAAATAAAAAAGAATAAATGATACTCTCGACTCTTAATGTATGTCATTGTTTCACAATACATATAGAATCATAAATAACATTGTGTAACTTTTTTTTTTTCTTATTTCTTTTGAACAAATATTTTTTCTCTCGATAGTGCAAAGAAATAAAAAAAGAAAACGACGTTTTTTTTTTTTTCTTTTTTTTTTTACAACACCAGCAATCGAAGAACGTCTTTTCTTTTAACGTACAAAACATCAATGTACAACAATTCGATTTTCTTTTTTTTCTTCTTCTTCTTCTTCTATTTTTTTTTTTCGCGCGCGAGCATGTCAAATGATTGATGAGAATATAATAAACCAATGTTAGATTAGCAGTATAACAAATAGAAGAAGAAAAATGATGTATATATTTTTATTGTTAACTGTGTTGAAGAAGGGGTAACTTACATGAAAATACTCTCATTCGTACCCATGTTTTACATAATGATGTATCACATGATGAATGATAAACATGTTGATAACTAACGAGAAGTAAAAGTGCAACATATTACAGACAAGTTTGTTGTGTTTCTTTTTTTTTTTGGCATAAGACAAAAAAAAAAAAAGAAGAAAACACTTTTGGATCAAGTTTTTTTTTTATCGTCATTTTATTATCAAAGTTTAAGATATGGATGATATTATACGAATAAACCTGTTCAGTAGAAGAAAAAAAAACATTTAATTATTTAACTGAAATTAGAAAATGTTTTATGATATTTCTAAAAATGACATATGTTCAATTCACTGGTGAGAAATCTAAATTTAAATAATAAAGTACTTATTAATAATTTCTGATGTGAATGAACTGCTAATTCATTCATCAGGTGTATATTGAGTCTTAGATGAAGATTAAATAGAAAAAATATGAATAGCAGATACATTGGAGACATGAAATGGTTTATATCATATGCTGCCTTCTCCATCCAATTGTTTGTTAAAAACTTTGATTTTTTTTTTTTTGTTTTATTTCTTCGTTTATAGTAAGATCGAAAAAAAAGATCAATTCCTTGCATAATAATTACATAGATTAAAAGACATGAATAGAGAGAGTATATGTAAATATCTATATCGAAGATATATACAGTTGATTAAAGTACCGGGTATTACATCATCATCATCATCGTCTTTTTAGATCTTACACAAATTAACTCAATTCGATGATGATTTTTGACATATCACTGTCTATCAGAAGATATTTACGACGAAGAAGAAATGTGTTGAAGTCAATGACCATTGAATAAGGAGATTTTTTTTTTCCATACTCGAATATAAAAGACAAATACATACAGGAATTTTTTTTTTTCTTCTCTTTTTTCTATTCTAAGGTATGTACATGTTCTACACGCTTTCAAATGTTTCCGGACACAAGCAACTAATTCATTTCCTCTTTTTTTTTATTTTTTTGCAACAGCAGCAACAGTAGCAGTAGCAGCAATATGTTGAAAATGTATAGAGAAACATAAGTTATGCTTTGTCGAATAATAAGTCAAAAAAACAGAGAGAAAAAAAACACGACATTACTTTTGCTTTTATACTCATTTACAAATGTTTCTCAGGTATGTATGTAACAAATAAAACAAAAAAATAACTAAGTTGGGATAGATAGATAGATCATTACAAAATCAATGTAAAAAGAACAAAAAGTCTTCAATATAATCGGCACGTACAAATCAAAGTACGCGCTTTTAAGCTCAAAAGAATTCATTGCATCAAGATAGAAAGAGAGAGAGAGAGAGAGAGAGAGAAAAGAATGTTTTGTAATCACATACCTGTAATACTGCAAACATTTGTATTAGCAAATATAAAGTAAGTAATGCATGTTATTTCAAAGTGATATCTCAAATTTTTTTAAAATGTTTTCCCTTTTCCTAATCTGTAACCTATATTAAGAAGGAATAATCAATTTTTTATACACTACATAGATCGTCAACATTCTCCGACTAGATTGACTTAATTAAGCTTTCTAAAATATCAAATTGTATCAACTTTATGTTGATTACAGATTAGTATGTCTAGATCTCAGAAAAGTGTTACGAAATGTTTCAAAAATTACAGTTTAAATTCATTACTTTTGTTAAAAATATATTTCAGAACTTTACGATTACAAACAAAATCTATTAACAATAAATTAATTCTTCAGTCGACTTGTCAGAGATGTTTAATTTTTACGTTTATTAGCGTTAGGAAGAGGGGTTCCTATTTTGAACAAAGCCGTGATCTATACTCTTTTCTTCTTCTCTAATCGATATCTGTTTAGTACCGTCTTCTGCTTTTAAAAACAAGTATACTTGCGGCAGACTTTAATGCGATACGTGATTTGACGAAACAAAACTCAAAAACCTACTCTTGAGAGAGAGAAACTAGAATAGAACAGAAGAAAAGCAAAGTACAACACAACACTACACAGTTGTTACAATCGAACAGTAAAACTAAAAATTTTAAAGCATCAATTTTATTTACATTTGGACTATTCTCTGCGACACTGAGGATAGTTGAATAGTAACAAATTCTTACATAATATACAAAAACTGTGAAAACATTTTCACTAAAAGCTACGTTTTTGGTTCCATACTAAGACGATACAAAGGTTTAGTTCAAAAAGTTAATGTATTTTACGCTTTTCTTTCACGCTTGTATTTTTGTGTCTGTGTATCTTAGGATCAAAGTATTTGATTTTAATCTTAATATTTCTTCTTTTTTTTTATTTTATTTTATTATTCTCAAAAAAGAAAAAAAGCAGTTAATCTAGGATTGTATTTGAGTGTCGTATACAGTTGATATTGGAAGAAGACAGAGAGATAAGACATAAAAAACTTGATCCACTTAGTGTCAGTGTTATATTCTACACCATTTAACCGTTGAAGTGGAAAAAATCACTTTTTTTATTTTTATTTTATTTTTTTTTTTTTTTCGTTCTCTTTTTCAATAGTCTATACACGTGTTGTTGTCACTTCATTATTAACTGTTGTTTAAAAGCGACGATGCATTTTATTTATTGACTATGATCATCATCATAATCGAACTAATTGTATTTTAAAACGAGAAGGATATTGCTTGAGGAGATATTTCACGCCTATTATTTGATAGAAAACGAAAAAAACCTTATCGCGAGTAATAGATACACTTAGAGTCAATTACTGTATGAATTTTCAATTAGGATACGTATTACTAGCCTTGAAAATAATAAAACTATATTTAAAGAGGAGAAAATGACTGTTGTTGAACATAGTCTTTACTAAGAGGAAATTGTACTTGTAATTCTAATCTAAAATCTATCTCTCCATTAAGAATAAAATCGTTTCTGTTTTAATACGCAATTACTAATATTCGTCGGTTCAGTTTATGAATGAGTACCCAAGTTAAGGAACTTTAGACATCTAAATCAATCGACTATAGTCATATAACTACAGAAAGTACTTTTATTCATAAGACTAAACGACTTTTATATTTCGCTGTGAAATACCATTAAAATTTCATTGTCATTGTATCGATATAAATATCAATTGTCTACAATCGCGTATCATAATATCTCAGTTTATATACTCTTTGAAAGCAATATGAGTGGATAAGACAAAGGTTGATTTTTTCACGACTAATTCTATTCTTAATGAATAATATAGCAACTTTACTATTGAATGTTTCTTTAATGTATAGCCTAAGACATTTAACCTGTTCGCTGCGCTTCTTTAATATAAAGACTTCAAAACTTGAATTTTATCAAGCTCGAGTTTATAGGGTTTTAATAACAACAAACCCTTTTCATTGAATAATTTTCTCCTGTAAATTCTTGAAACACTTTATATGTGTTGTTAGCTCTAAGACTCCTTTTTCTCAGTTGATTGAGGTATAGTGGTTCTGTGTTCCTAACAACTATACCTCAATCTCATTTATATTAGCATAATTTAATGAATTGATGATTTTGTTTGGTTCCCCCCCTCCCTCTGTCTGTATGACATTCTAATTATTTGTTAACACATTCATTTTTCTTCTATGAAAAACCAATCTTTTTCTTTTTTTCCATTCTATTTGTATGTAGTGAGTGATGCTCTCGCTTTCTCTATTTCTCTGTTGTTGTTGTAAAAACAACTTATTTCTTCATAATGCTTTTATCATAACTTCTACATACAACATCTATGTATGTATGAATGTATGTATGTACCATAGACTATAAGAAGATTTCTCTCTATATATATGAAACGAGAAAAAGAAATAACAGCAATAACAACATTTGTTCTACATCGCTTGCAAATCAAATTTTGTAACTTTTTCTTCTCTTCACCAGTACCTTTCTTCCTCTCACTCTTCTCTCTCTCTCTCTCTTTCTTTCTTCGCTTTTACATCATGTTATTTTTATGATGATTCTATGACTACGACAACGACGAAAGAAGAAGAATGTTACAATATATAGTAGTGAGTCGTTTGCCGCGAATCACCAGTCGACATTGTTAACAAGCACTTAAACATCAATGTAAAACATCTACACATATCCAATCGGATTTTTTTTCTTCTTCTTTCTTTTCGTTTCTGATAAATGAGAAACACCAATCGGCGTGTGTGTGAGACAGTGAAACTACATACGTACATAATTATCTAATCGTTTTTCTTTCCAACAAGTAAATGTAACTATACAGTCTTGTTCTATACTACTTTTTTTTCTGTTCTGTGTTCTCTATCGATTCGTTTAACAAAATGTTACTTGTAACAACAACATGAAATTTTACATCAATATGTGTGCACCTATACAAGAGATAAAATTTATTTTTAAGTAGTGTTTTCTTTTTTTTCTTCTTCTCTTTCTCTCTTTCTCTCTTTCACCCTCTCTTTCTCTCTGACTCTCTGTCATCGGACACACTTGCACAGTGTTAAAACATGAAGATATTATTTTCTTTTTTCTTGTGTATGCTGTCATAACGATTATTAGGACGAGAAATACATTGTTGTACGAAATATGTAAAAAATCAAAGATTTTTTTTCTTCTTCTTCTTCTTCGCGTTGTTGATGATGATGATCAAATAAAAACGCAGTCAGTTATTTATTTATGACAGAAGAATAAAAAAAGAAATGAAGAGAGAAAAGAGGGAGGCAAATGACTCTCTACAACAACAACACCAATGAGGACATGTATTTAACTTGTAATAAACACATACTCGCCTACATTTTTCTTTCATTTTTTGCTGTAAGAGTGTAGTTAATTATTAAATTTTTTTTTATATCTATTTTTGACTAATTTCTACTTTTTCAATTTGGTAAGTGTATGTTTGAACAATATCAATTTGATAATGTTTTCTTTCTAATATTTTGGAATTAAATATTCTTTATTAGCGCTGATTCGATGACTTGATTAGCACATAGCAGACATATCTTTGGATAACGTAACGTGTACTTTACTAATTTAATATCAGGTTAAAAAATTGTAACAAAGAAAATGGGAATCTATTGATTTTAATTAGTCTTATTTATAGTTCTTTTATCTCTTAAAATTATTAATTATTCTTCTATTTCAGATTGTTTATGTTTTGATAGAAAACTGAAAGCAACAAAATACTGATCACGTTTAATTCATCTTCCAGCATAGAATGTGAGTAGATTTGTTTACTATATACGTTTATATAATTACTTCAATAGTTTGTCTATCTTTTAGGCTATCCGGTTTGTCTGAAACAGTTTATCCACAACCATATTTATTAGCTGCTGCTACTGATCATTCACTATATTCGTCTTTACAAGTAAAAACGAGAAAAATTAAAAAAAATAGAAGATAGATTTTTTTCTAAAAAATTTTCTATTTATTTTAATAGGGCACAATGGATGGAAGTGCTGATCCATGGCGAAATATAAATTGTGGTGGACATTATAATCCCTATTCGTATGATCATGCAGCATTAGCTGGTTATCCATATGGACCAGGGTAAGTTTGAATTTTATTGTATATACTCGTGCAATCTATTAACATAAGTCTTCTTCTTTCTCTCTATCCGTTCTGTAAATGTTTCATTAAAAGATTAGAAACAATCTTTCTCTAACTGATTGTTATTGTTATCATTGTGATGAGTTGAGTAGTCAAGTTAACTTTGTTTTTATAAAAGATAGAGAATTTTAACAACCATTCACTAATGGATCGTATACGTATAGTACAATTAAGAGGATTCTGTTCAATTGCTTGCTCTGTTTTCTATTTAATAAAGAAAGTAGATAAATACTTAATTTATACGAAAAATAGTAAAACTATGAGTGAAAAAAAAAACATCTCATATTTAAAGGTTTTACTCAAATTTTTATTCGAAAATATAGGTGCTATTATCACTGTTGAGATCGGAATAGAGGAGTATAAATGATACTTTATCATGACTCTGAAAGACTATAATATTCTAAGCGTAAAGTGAAAAATAGTTTGGTGTATTTTTTCAATTAATTTTTCTATTCTCAATAAATAAAATTATATTCTCTGCTAACGCGGAAGTTTTTGTTTTTCTGAATCTTATTCTAAAGTTTTTCTACATTCTCTTCTGAAGTGTTTCTCTTTACATAATATTAATTGAAAAAAAAAAGTACGACATTTTAGTTAATTTTTAAGTGTACAAGGTATTATTTGTAAGAGAAACAATTCAGCTAATCTATGAAATTGTTTCCTAAGATCACTATATTTGATAAAAAAGGCATAAATTGAATATTTTTATTCTCATCTCACAATTATCATGGCTTCACGATTTTACTGGTCATTGTGAGTTTCTGCTAGAAAATAATTATTCATCTGGTTTTATAGTGAATAATGGCTAATTAAGATAAAAATTTCATATAATGAACAATGTAATGACAACATCTAATTAGATGTATTTTATCAATAAAAAACAAAACAAAAAGACATTATTTTTCTATCGATATATCAATATCTTTCCCTTTTTTTTTTTATTTTATTCTTCTCTTCTTCAAATTTGTTAAACATGCACCATTGGCTTTTATTGAAACATGTAAAGCAAATTTTTGATTGGTTGATCAAAAAAAACAGACATAGACACGAACAAGTAATATGAGTCTACCGTTGGGGATATCTTTTTCTCTCTCACTTGTCTATCTATGATGTACAGATGTGTGATAGATATCTTTCTTTTATTTCTTCAACTTTTTTTTCTTTTTTTAGGTAAACTATCTTCTTCTTTTTGTGCAGATGTTATAATCTCTCGAGTCATATCGTAAACATGACTAGATGATCAAACAGAAGTAGTACTAGTAGTAGTAGTAGTAGTAGTTGTATCCACTACTCTTGAGATGTGCATAGAAAAAAAAATGAAACGAGTATATATATATATATATATCTATCTCTTTATCAATCATCATCGAGAAAATGCCATGCAATTAGAAAGAAAGACGATGATAATGATCAGAAACATAAGATTATTGATATTGTCATATTTATTATTATTAGTATGTGCTTGATTGACAGTTCGAGTTCGAGTTTGAGTTTAGGTTATATTATTCTCATTCACATCCGTTTTTATTTTACTCACAAGGGAAAATATGCAAGTGCATACAGATTGCACAGGAAATGACACTTATTAGAACACATTGAAAAGCAATTTTACAGAAGAAAAAAAAAAAAAAAAACTGAAAATAAATAAACATATAAACGAGTATACAGTAGTCGTCATTTTGTATGAAATGTAACAGGAATAAAAATATATAGTTGTTCCGTTATGTTTGTGCCATGTCAGAGAATTTTGTTGTTTGATTTATTACATGTGTTATGCAAATTATCGGCAATGAAGTTAGATCTAATAGACTATAAGAATGAACTAACTATTGTAGGATGAATGATGTATACATCTTACTTAATTTCAATTGTAAATGTCTATCATTTGTTCAAATAGTTCATCTCAATTTCAAGACAATTTAATATAGAAATGATCGTGAAATTATTCTTCATTTTATATCTAAATTTATATGATAGTTGTCCTCTGATATAATAAAAAACAATAACATACTCTTCTTTCCTTACATTCTGACATGAAATACAATATTTACTCTAAACTTTTTATTACTATAAAATTGGACATTGTTTTTAAGAGTCAAAAACAGACAATTGAATTCACAGTTAAAGATGTTCGTATTTCTAATTAGAGTTAATTGAAAGTAAATATAATTTCGAAAACTGTTAGCGATTGTATAATATGATTTTTGCCCACTAGAAAGAATAGCAATTCGCATTAAAATCTTCAATTTATAAGAAAATAATTTTAAGAATTCTAGTAGATTTCTATTAGTGACAATTTGTTGGACTATAAGAGATTGCGAATTATATGAAAGATCACTTTGTAGTGCAGATTATTTTAAAATTTGATTTGGTCAAGTATATTACGCTATTTTTATCGTTATTTGTCAATTAGGGAAGAAATTTGTTAATATCTACACGAATCTTATTTATATCATTTAATTTTAATGTGCATTAATGCCAAAAAAATTTCTCTTTTTTTTTCTTCGTCTTCTTCTTCTCAAGTGCACTTAATCATAAAAAACACTTTTTATTACTTTACTCTACAAAAAAACTGGTAGAAAATGACGCCATTTTAACACAAAAACTCCCCTCAAGCATTTTAAGCTATTAAAATTATTGATTTCCTTGAAATATATTAATTTAGTCTCTTTTTTTCTGTTGTCTCTACACATGTATTGCTCATATCATTTTAGCATATCCGCCGTTAATGATATTCAATACATAGTAGTTTTTTTTTTTCTATATAAATGCCACATATCATTGTATCATAAACGATGCATGCATAATAAACATCAATAGTAGTAGAACTTGAGATCAGAAGATCGTGCTTAAAGGCAAAATATAATGTAAAATTATCTGTTTTCAAATTATATACACACACACACACACACATTATATTTACATTTTTTTTTCGACAGACCGAAACGAATATGATCTGACTCTTTTTCTCTCTATTGTAGATATTCACCAATGGATTTAGCTGGTAGACGTAAAAATGCTACAAGAGAAACAACAGCTACTCTAAAAGCTTGGTTATATGAACATCGAAAAAATCCTTATCCAACAAAAGGTGAAAAAATTATGTTAGCCATTGTAACAAAAATGACATTGACTCAAGTTTCAACATGGTTTGCAAATGCAAGAAGAAGGTTAAAAAAAGAAAATAAAATGACATGGTCACCGAGAAATAGGTAAAAAAAGATATTTTAAATTGATTGTCATTTGATACTAATGTTAGTATTAGTTTCCTTCTAAAATAAATTCAAGGTACTATTTGATGTTAGTTTCTATTGATATAATTTCATACAGAATTCAAATATTCTAGAATGACAACGAGTACTATTTATTCTTACATTTAGGCATTTTTAAAAATAGATTAAAAGTTGAATGTCAATGAAAAGATGTTTAAAAGTTGTATCTATTGATTTCGTTTTTTTTTTTTAGAACGAACGATGATGGAGATCAATCCAGTGATGATGATGACGATTCGGACGCTATATCATCAAGAACAGCGATAAACGGAAATGTACATAGCAAAGCTCATGATTCTGGTCAGTAAAAACTGAATTTTTTTGCCAAATTTTAATATAGAGTTCTGCCAGTTACAAATTTTTTGACAAACAATAATTTAACCTATAAGTTTAACCTAATCAAATCTGTACAATATTTTGTTAAACGAGCCAACCAATTCAAATATAAATCACATTTTCCTAAAATGACTTATTTAACAAAAGATTGTCTCCTGTTATTAGTTCAGTTTTATAAATTTAAATTAGAGAATATCCGTCAACATTTTATTAGAGAGATATCTTAAGCAACGAAAGAAGAAGTAAAAAATAAACGTAGCATTATGTCTGTGTCTATGGCCAATAAAATCATAGTGTATGGCTGTTGAGTATGTCAGTGTCGTTCAAAAAATCGTTTTCATATTTCGAATAAAAATAGGTTACTGACAGCGTAACCGATAATCTAACCCACAAGAATCATAAATAAAAATAGGTTGAGTTAGAATTTAATCTGCAGGACTCTGATTTAATAGTCCAATAATTTGTCTAGAGTATATTTAAGCCTAATCTTTTTTTCAAATAAATAATGCTTGTCTAATTGAGTTAGAAATTGTTACTGAAATAAAATGTTGAAATCAGAGGCATTTTTTTTGAATAGTTAAAAACAGGATAAGCAATACCCAATTCGAGTAGACGTATGTTTATTGTTCTCATTAGAAGTCACTTAAAATTCTCCTCTCCTTGAAAGAAATTCAGGTGAGATTGTATTCATAGAATTCTATTCAATCGTCTTTTTCTTTCTGTTTGAGCAAGTTCTTTATTTATCAAAACGGAAATGCTTAGAAAAAAAAAATTTATTCGTATTGCACGTGTCAATTTTAATTGACCAGGATTATTATTATCATTTTCTTTATTTCCTTTTTCTTTTTTCTGTTATATAGGAGATCTATCTGATATAAGTGCAAATACAACATTAGACGAAATTCAGCATGAAAAATCGGCAAATTTGGTAAATCAAGAATTTTTATTATTAAAACATCATCAACAACAACAACAATTATTATTTCATCATCACCATCATTCAACGACAAAAGACACGAGTAGAGATGATAATAATAATACGACTGCAACTCCGATATCTCCAAATAAACAACAAAAAACAGATGAACTAAATAATGAAACCGGTACAACAACTAAACCTAAACTTTGGTCATTGGCTGATATGGCTAATGATTCAAAATCTTCAAAAACGACACTACCACCACAAACTCGTTCATCACCAGCTACAACAGCTGCCTTTGCACATTGGGCAGCACAAGCTGATCAAGCATCGAGGTATGCACTAGCAGCCGCTGCCCAATATTCTCGACAACCACATCCTCATCATCCAATGTGGTATCCAGATTTACGTCAGACATCGTCAACAATAGCGCGACCAACATTAATTCATAGTCAACCACCAATATTACCACCAATAGTCAAAGATGGATCAACAAAATTATACAAACCATCCTCTTCAGCTTCATCATCATCTGTTTCTTCATCTTATTCAAGTAATTAAGTTTTGATTACATGTTGGTCTTTATACGTGTTTGCTATTTGATGTCTAAAAATTATTAATTTTCCTGAATTTCTAGTGATAGGTCCTAGTCATTTTGCATTTTTGATTGGTTATTATTTTCTTCCTTTATATTTTTTGATGAAAATATTCTCTCTCTCTCTCTCTCTCTCTCTCTCTCTTTCTCTCTCATTCACTCATCATGCAATGTCATTTTATTTGTTCAAACAGCGAGTGAATAGTTTATTTTATGTGACATGTTGATATAGACATCAAACGTCTTCTATAGATATCATGATAGCTGTCCCAAATGAATTTTTTACTAATCATAATTGGTTTGGCTTCTTTTCATATACTCTAAAAAAAAAAGAAAAAAGAAATTTTTTTTTCTTTCTTTTCTACTGTGATGACTATAAATTATTTATGAATATACCTGACAGAGAACAGACACACACACACAAACTACTTCACAGTTGTTTGTTTTCTTCCAGTAACTTTAACATATACACTGCTCCTAAAAGAAAAAAAGGCAATTAGCGTGAAATAGAATGATTTATGCATCATTGAATACGTTAGTAGCGTGAGATATATATACGATATATACATGAACTAGTAAATCTATACTATTAATACTATAAAATATGAGTGGAAGAACGGAAATTAACATTAAACTAACAAAGAAGAGAAAGAGAGAAAGAGACTGAGAGGACAGCATTTCGAATATTTTCATATTAATATTAGATCACATCTAAGAATCAAAAATAATTGTACTATGCCACTCAACAAATTTGGTTAAGAACTATTAAGATGTGATATAAAATTTAGTCTAAAAAAGACTTGATGTGTATTTTCTTTTGTTTGATTTGCACGTAAATTACCTTTCTTAGAAGTATTAAAATATATCTTTAATGAAAAATATTACGGATACAAAATGAGAGAGATCTATAGACGAGTTAAAGTTGTAACTAGCAAAAAGTATAAACAAGATAAAACTAAAGAAAAATGGATATTAGTTTGTTAGAAAACAAACACGCAATTCATCAAGGATGGACCAGAATTACTGAAACGAATTGATTGTATAGGATGTTGTAAGAAGTTTTATTTTATATAGAAAAGTACAGCAAAAATTCGTCTTTAAAACGCGTATTTACTTGGCTTTCTAGCTCTAGTAGTAAGAAACTTCTTACAATAACATTCTATACAATCAAAATAGTGGTTTATCAATTCGTTTCAGTCATTCTGGTCTAACCTTTGTGGATTATCGGGTCATCAGAGTCATCTCATTCTGACAGCATGCCCCATAACTTGTATTGATGAGATAAAGAAAGAGTATCAGTTGATTTAGACGAATTTCTGATCTATTTTAATCATGAGTCTGTGAAAAAGATAATAGAATACTAACAATATCCTTTTAGTCATCTTAATTCGTGTAGAATAGAGTAGTACATTTTTGTGAACTTTATTGTTTTATTATATCAATTGTCTATTATTATTAATTCGATCAGAAAACGATTGTTTTTGTTAACTATTCTGTACTTATGTGTTGTTTTCTATTTATTCAAATAAGCTTTTGTATATTGAACGTTAGTTATTGACTTATGTATTACTCTTCGAAAAGAGGGAAGACAGGATTAAAGAGTTAAACTTATTCTATTCATCTGACAAAATATAATTTGATATAGACTTTACGTGATGAGACAAGAGAAAAGATTTACCGCTCAAACAAAAAATGAAAACATTTCACTTGAATGATAGATACATTGAAAGACGTAATGAGAGGAAATACATAGAATGAAAACAAGTATATCATTGTAAATGATAAAAAATAAAATAAAAATGAACTGTCCTATGATGATGTTGATATGCTAATATATAATGAAGTTAAATATCAAAATTCTCAAAGAAAATAATTGTATTTTACCGCTCGATTTTTTTTATTTCTTTTTCTTAAAAATATTTATGAATTATTTATCATTGTGATTTCTCTATTATTTCTTTTTAGACGAATCTCCCACATCTACAACCGACGATAATAAAACTGAAAATTCACCGCAATCTTCATCATCCACTATGGCACTTTTACTACCACCATCAACATCTTCACATCAACAATTACCACAAGGACCGGGCGCATTTAAACCATTGAAAAAAGAAAAAACCTGAAACAAATTGTACATCTTCGACTACTATAGCTTCTCTCCATCGTTTTCTTTTGTCAGATACTGAGATCAGTACAAAATGCGTGTATGTGTGTATGTTTGGACGTTTCGGACCATTCCAATACTCATTTTTATTTTTACTCGAAAAAAAACAAAAAAACTAAAAACAATTAAAATAAACTGACTATATTCAATCTCACTAAATATCTGATGAATTCTGATTTGGCCGGTTTTAACAGTGAAAAGCATTTCTTCTCTTCTTTCTTTTTTTGTGTGGTGCGTGTGTTTGTTTTTTTTTTCTTTTTCTTGTTCTTTCTTTTTTTTTTCTTGTTCTTTATGTGTGCATTTGTGTGCGTGTGTCTCTCTTTCTCTTTTGTGAATATAAAATATATACCAATTATATTTCTTTTGCTGTTTTTCTTTTTTTTTCTCACGCCTTTATATATTTGTGGACAATCAAATATGAAAAATAATAAAATATTGAAAAGAAATATTAGTGAATTTGTAATATTTTACAATCTATATCTATATTTTGATACAATTACATAATATAATAATTCACGTTTAGATAAATCCATAGTTATTCGTCATAATTGGCATTTATTTTTTCCTAAATTTTTCATCATGTTTTCTACTATTGACAAAGAAAAATTAGAAAATAATATAAAATAAAATCATGCAGTAAGTTTAACAGTATGCAATATTAAAAACTTTTTTGTTTTTTCGTTTTGCTGAAATAGAGAGTATTTTATTGAAAATAGATAAACGTTTTTTTGTTTTTTTTGTCGAAATTGATAAGTTATGCGTAGACATTTTTTCTTAAATATAACTGTTTACGATATTCATATGTACAAGAGAGATTTTGTCAATATTTTCTCATTTTGAAGATCATTTCTTGACGACAGAGATACAGTATAAGTCTGTATCTGACAATAACAAAAAAATATTTGCAAATAGTGATGTTCATGATAAGTTTCTTTATACAAAACTTAAATTTACAAGAAAGATGAATTGATATACAGTTCATCTTATTCATACAACAATTGTAAATAGGATCATTTTTTGGGTTAGAACAAAAAAATTTCTCTATACAAATGAAAATGGACACCATTTTATTTTTTTCGTATGTTTTGTTTTGTATTTCAAGACATCTATTTAAAATTTTTTCTCCTATTTTGATATGACATTTTGTTGATAAAAATTAACTGATGATGTATAAAAACAAAATAAATGAGTACATATAGTTTACAAATGTCTTCGTCGTCTATAAGAATATGGGCACCTGCGTGTATTATGTCAATCAACCAAAACTAACTAATCTCGAATAATGGGAGACAAGAGAGAAGGAGAGAGAGAAAGAGAGAAAGAAAAGAGTAGAACATGACTTATCAGAAAAAGTAAATACAATGTGTATCGAAATGGGAACAAATAATCTTACACAATAGAAGACAGAAACATGTTACAATCGAAACATCATTGAAATATTTTATACTGAAGAAGAAAAAAAAAACAAAATGAATACTTTTTTTTGTCTGATATATATACATACTCTAATAGAAGATCTTATTAGCTAATTGACAATAATAATTCATTTATTGACATTTTCTTCAGAAATCTATAGTATGTTTAGTACTGTATGTGTGTGTGTGTGTGTGTGTGTGTGTGTCATTTTAGACATATTTTTTTCTTCATACAGTTGTCTAACCGGTATATCGTATGTCTCTATTTTGCTAGATGAGAATTAAATTTACATATGATCATCCATAGTGTCTCAGTTATCATATGTTAGGATTTTGTCAATGAACATCGTTATATTTTTTTTCTCTCTCTCTCTCTATGCAGCTGTTTCCTCTATAGCGTGAAATTGATTCTATCATCATTATTATCATTTAGACATGTGCCCCATCTAACAAAAAAAAAATAATATATATATATTTATTATTTTCTAGTTGTTGTTTCCGTTTTTGTAGAAGCGTTTCGCGGATACAACAACTTGACAAGTAACGCCTACCACCTGCCTTTCTCACTCTCTATTCTTAAAACCGGCAACATTAAAAAAGATTTTGATGATGTTCAAACTATTCATATATAAAACAGTTTAAACAAATGGATGATAATCATGACACTACATTATAGACTGATTTATTCTGACAATTGACTTACGATTTGGAATCAAATGAGGAAGGAAATCATTGAAAAACGAAGGAGCAAGAGAGAGAGAAGAAAACACATACGTTGATGATTACTTCTCAGCACGTTAGAGAAATAATTATTATCATGTACTACTAGAATTAATCATTAAAAAACTTAAAAGTAAAAGAGATTTACTCATTGAAATATTAAAAAACACATATCAAGTCAACTCTAACTGATTCGTTTAACAGTAGAGAGTCAACAAAAAAAATAAAAATAATTGCTTCATTTATGTAAACAGAAGAAATGTTTTGTTTTCTTTTTTCTCTCATCAATTGATAAGTTAATAGTTCTATCCTAAAAGATACCTTACAGATGTAGATGTACATTTTCTTAAGACTTTTTTTTTTCATTTTTTTTGTTTTTTATCACATATATCGATAAAAGACACAAATATTTTCGTTTTTTTTTTTTGTTTTGCCTTCAGCTTAATGTCCTATTCATTCACTTTTTCTGTTTAACTAATCATTAGGCAAAAAGTGCATATAAGCCGATCAGACGCCTGAAAGAGTGAGAGAGCAATCACTAGTATTCAAGTGTTCATATAGTTCAAGTAAAACATAGAAGATATATATATATATATGTATATATTCTAAGCATATTGAATGAGGAAAAATAACAAATTATGAAATCTAAAAAGAGTCATGCTTTGCTACTCTTTCCTAATCTAACTCGTCAATAATCAACAGTGAACATGATGAGAATAAGAATAAGAATATATATATATAGGGTGGGACAAACACTCACATTTATTAAAGTATTAATAAGACTAATCAGTATATAGAAATATGTATCATTTAAAGAGAGAAAAGAGAGTCCCCAATATATTACATCATTATCCGTCAAAGTGTCACCAATTTGTTAAATATATTTCACATTTGCCTCTCTCATTAAGGATAGTTATGTATCCGAGTTTTGTTTAAAAAAATAAAAAGGAATGAAACAATTTTACCATTGGTCAGTATCTTAAACATCTAATTGATACACAGTACATCTACACGGCTTGTTCAGCTAACGGTCTCCTTTTTTCGCTCATTTTCAAAAGATTATTGTAATAAAGTCACAAACTAATCTAAAATTGCAACTCGATAATTAAATAGATTAAACATCTCTACAAAATGAAAAGTGTCTCGACTCTAAACGTTGATTCCCTGTTGTCCAAACAGCTCAAAAAATCGATTTTAAGGCTATCTGAAAAACATGTCTAAAAGACTGAAGACGAACAGGCGAAAATTGAACAAGTATACCAGTGTGTAGAAAATTGTTTTCTTTACAAAATGTAATAGCTTGTCAAGTTCAAAACTATTCTAATTAATCTGTATTAATCAAAGAAAAACCAGAAAAAGTTGTGACAAAAAACGGGTTAAAAGTGTTATAGCGTCACGATTTTTCTTTGAATAATACAGATTAATTAGAATAGTTTCAAACTTAAAAAACTATTACATCTTGTAGAGCAAACAATTTTCTACAAAGTGGTATACTTGTTCAAAATTTTCGTCTGCTCGTCTTCACTGTTTTTTTTTAGACATGTTTTTCAGATAGCTGTTTGTACAACAGCTATATAGAGAATCAACGTTCAGAGCCGAAACACTTTTCATTTTGTACAGATACTTAAATATCTAGTTGCAATTTTAGATTAGTTTGTAGCTCTTTTGAAAATGAGCGTACAGCATGAACGTTAGATAGAAGATCTTCTTTTGAGAATCAATGTTGTACAATGTATTCTTAAATAAATTTGTCTAACTTTCTCTACTTCCGAATATCATAAATTCGTTTATCTAATTTTTTTTAATCATGGCATATCTCAGATTATCTTATGTAAAAAAAAAGAAAAAGAAATAAAAAGCAAATGATGATAAATGATTTCATAATTGATTGTACAGTACCATTTCCTCCTCTTTTACACAGATATATTTATGTTTTTGTTGACAGAAATTCCGGGTCTTTTACATCATCATGTAAATCACACGCGTATAATCATCTCATTATAAAGTCATTTCTCAAAACAAACATTCCAACATAACGAAAAAATTTTTAAAAATCAACAGTAATATATTATATGGTTATCAAACATTGTTACCAGATATCACCATAAAAAATAAAAATAAAAACATGTGCAGAGATACATTGTTGATTGACACCAAAACTAGTTTTATTTCATAGATTTGATTAATGAAGGATGATACAGAGAAGATTGTTTATTTTTCACACAGTTGGAAATCAGCATACTCAAAATTCATTGAGTTTATTATAGGAAAATAATAATAATAATAATAATGTGTCGTCTCATTACGAGAAGAAACATTTCATTTACAAGGCTACAATAGGAGAGTAGTGTTTGATCACAAGTGAACAAAAACAGTAGAAAATTATTTTAAAACAATACTCAATCTTAGTTATAAATGTGTATAGAATGAGAAAGAAGAAAACACTTACAAGTTCAATTTAATCTATTAAAAATTTTCAGAGAAAAACAAATAAACTCTTAAATTCTTATGAAAAATTTTATTAATTATCCATGTCACTGATGGAGAGTTAGTAGTACTACTTCACAATGAATTACTCAAAAATCTTTCTACATGAAACAAACAATGCAAGAAGTATTATAAATTCAAAATAAAATAAACCAATTGATCTTTGAATAGTTTTAAAGATCAAGTTTATAGAATACATTTCTTATTAAATTCGATCCTGGATATCGGAATTTGTCTACATGCACATGAGATTATTGATCATGCAAAACGTTTGAAGTAAAAAATCCTGTTTAAATTTCATTACAGTCTCGCACAAAACGTCAGACACGGGAGTCTC